GGCCGGTCCCCGGCACTGACCCCCAGCACGGTCCCTCCTTAGCTCTGTATTGGCGTGGACGCCCTGGGCTCGACTTGGGCAGATGCCGGTTTGGGGAAGGTAGTGAGGGCAGTACGTCTGAATCCGTGTGTGTCAGTGGTGCTCGAGTCAGACAATGAGGACAGCTGCCTCAGTAGCCAGGCCTTTCTGCTTTTCCTCATTCTTTTTTGAGGCTGGTAGAGACAGCTTGAGACTTTCTAGAGCGGTGGCAACCAGACTCCTAGGGACTTTTTTTTTTTTTTTTGGTAGGGATGGAATAATTTCCATCTTTTAATTTTGTATTATAATGGTATTTAAAAAACAAACTTACGCCACCCATACCACCATTACTTAAGGGAGTATATTTTAACGCTAAGTACTGACACTGTAAACTCAGAATAAATGCCATTCTTTGCAAGAAAGGTCATTACCAACCTCTATCAGTGACTGTGTAGTTACTGTATTTTTCGTTTTACAGTTTGCCAGATTAAATCTTTATAATGAACTAGCGTTTGTAAACTATTGCTTTAGAATGAATGTTGATTGGCTTTCAGAAGTCTTTAGATGGAAGTATTTTGGACTTTTGGAATTCGATTTGGTGATTTCAGAATTTGCTCCCACAACTTAACCAGTCCAGTGGCCTTGAACTGCTTAGCTCGCCTGAGCCTTCTTTTGTTCTAACTTATAGCTCACAAGCCTTTGGTGAGAAACAAACTGTATGTTTTAGGATTTATTTGTATCTGTGAAGTAAGAGTAAATAGAATTCTAATAATTTACTATAGAAAATCCTTTTTCCCCCAAGTTTTGTTTATCTCAAAATAAACTTTATTCTTTAGAGCAGTTTTAGTTTCACACCAAAATTGAGCAGAAAAACACAGAGATTTTCCATATACTTCCTACCTCCATTCATGCATAGCTTTCCTCACTAATAACATCCTCCACCAGACTGGTACATTTGTTAAAATCAATGAACCTACATTGACACGTCATAATCACCCAAATTCCATAGTCATTACATTAGGGTTTACTCTTGGGTTTTACATTCTGTGGGTTTGGACAAATGTAAAATGACGTGTATAATGTAGCAACCATTATAGTATCGTACAGAGTAGTTTCACTGCCCTAAAAATCCTCTCTGCTCTGCCTATTCATCTCTTTCTCCTCCCAACCCCCGGCAGCTATTGACCTTTTTACCGACTCCAAAGTTTTACCTTTTCCAGAATGCCATGTAGTTGGAATTGTACAGTATATAGTTTTTTCACATTGGCTTCTTTCACTTAGTAATAGGCATTTTAAGATTCTTCCGTATCTTTTCATGGCTTGACATCTCTTTTCTTTTTAGTGCTGAATAATATTCCATTGTTGGGGTGAACCACAGTTTATCCATTCACCTACTGAAGGACATCTTGGTTGCTTCTAGATTTTGGCAGTTATGCGAAGTGTTGTTTATACACATGATGTTTATAATGTTTATACATCTGTGTCCAGGTTTTTGTATGGACATATGTTTTTAACTCCTTTTAATAAATACCAAGGAGCACAATTGCCAGATTGTATGGTAAAGAGTATGTTCAGTTTTGCAGAAAACTGCCAAACTGTCTTCCAAACTTGGCGGTACCATTTTGCATTCCCACCAGTAATGAATGAGAGTTCCTGTTGCTTCACCTCCTCACCAGCATTTGGTGTTGTCTGGATGTGTTCTGATGTATTCTGGATTTTGGCTATCTTAATAGGTATGTAGTGGTATCTTACTATTTTAACTTGTATTTCTCTGATGACGTATGATGTGGAGCATCTCTTCATGTTCTTGTTTAGAATCTGTATATCTTTGGTGAGGTGTCTGTTAAGGTCTTTGGGCCATTTTTTAAATTAAGGTGTTTGTTTTCTTATTGTTGATCTTTAAGAGTTCAGTTCTTTATCGGATATGTATGTCTTTTGCAAATATTTTTCTCAGTCTGTGGCTTGTCTTTTCATTCTCTTGACATTGTCTTTCACAGAATAGAAGTTTTTAAATTTTATCAAAGTCCAGCTTACTATTATTTTCATGATCACACCTTTTGTGTTGTATCTAAAAAGTCATCACCATACCCAAGATCATTTAAGTTTTCTCCTCTGTTATCTTGTAGGAATTTTATAGTTTTGCATTTCACATTGAGATCCATTCTGAGTTAATTTTTGTGAAGGGTGTAAGATTTGTGTCTACATTCATTTTTTTTACGTGTGTATGTCCAGTTATCTTGGCACCATTTGCCAAAAAGGCTTTGTTCCACTGTACTGCCTTTGCTCCTTTATCAAATAACAGTTTTATTTGTGTGGATCTATTTCTGGGCTTTGTCTTCTGTTCTTTTGCCAGTACCACACTGTTTTGATTACTACAGTTTTATCCTAACTCTTCATGTGTGGTGTCAGTCCTTCAACTTTGTTCTTCTCCTTCAGTGTCATGTTGGCTATTCTGGGTCTTTTGCCTCTACTATAAACTATAGAATGAGTTTGTTGGTATCCACAAAATAACTTGCTGAGGTTGTAATTGGAGTTGCACTTAACTGTAAAGTAGGGAAGAAGTGGCACTTTGGCAATATTGAGTCTGTCTGTGAACATGGGATAGAAATCCTTTTTGAATGTTCCTTTCCATCACCCCCAGATCAGTTATCAAGAACTGCTCAGTTTTTCTCAATTATTTTATCCCTAGTGCTACTTAAGTTTAGAGCTTAATAATTTGTTTAGACCATTGTAAAAACTTTACTGGCCTTCCTGAGATCTAGTCCTCCCTCCCCCATCATTCCTCCCATATAGAATTTTGACCCTGTTAGTTAATATTTCATTCATGCTCAGAGCAGGAAAGGCCTTTCTAAATATGAAACAAAACCTAGAGCATTAAGAAAAAGATTGGTTGTGTGGCAAAACAAATATAAACAAAGTCACATGAGGTGTATGGTAAAGACATGAGAGAAGGAAAAATTTGCCACTCCTATTGTAACAAAGGACTAATTTTCTTAATGTAAAGAGTGTGTACACATTAACAAGACCAGCAAAAGATATGAATAGGTAACAGAAAATAAAATATAAATGACTCTTAAAAATCCAAGTTAGATTTGGTGAAGGAGTGAGGAGAAAAGCACTCCCATACTGCTCATGCTTGGAGTATAAATTGTAAATTAGTTCAGGCCCAAAGAAGGACTAATTGGCAATATCAAAATGATAAAGTCACAGGACACCTGGGTGGCTCAGTCAGTTTGGTGTCTGCCCTTGGCTCAGGTCATGATCCCAGGGTCCTGGGATCCAGCCCCATGTCAGGCTCCTTGCTAAGCTTCTGCCTCTCCCTTCTGCCCCTCCCCCTGCTTGTGCATGCACACTCGCTCGCTCTCAAATAAAATCTAAAAAAAAAATTATAAGGTCACATAAATTTTGATCCAGCAATTCTTTGAGGAACTTTTCATGTATATACCTACACACATGCAAATTGATGTATGCTCAAGGTTTTTAATGATAATATTGTTTTTAATAAGAAAAGATTGAAAACTGCCCATCTGTGATGGAGTAGGTAAATAAATTAAGATATGCCCATATAGTGATACCATGCATCAGTAAAAAGACAGAAGGGGCTATTTGTGACAGGAAAGATTTCTAAGATATACTTTTTTTAAAGATTTTATTTTTAAGTAATCTCTGCACCCAGTGTGAGGCTCAAATTCATAATCCTGACATCAAGAGTCCCATGCTGCACTGACTGAGCCAGCCAGGCAGCCCTAAGATACATTGTTAATTGGAAAAAGGAAGATGCAGTGCATGATTCATGGTGTTTTGTGAAAAAAAGGAAATACAAAACAATATATATTATACTTAATTGTATAAACATAAATAGCTGGAAAGGTACATAAGAAACTAATGCGGAGAGGGAAACTTTACACAGTATGCATTTCATAATTTAAAATTTTGAACCAATATTACCTATTTAAAAAAATAACAAGGAAAAATATAAAGTAAAATCTCTTTACTGGATGCATATCACATACAGTACATGATTACTCTCTTGTTCTGCCTCTTAAGAGCCTTTAGAATTTGACTTCTGTTTATCTCTTGACTCTACACCTACAGCCTTGTCTCCAGAGTTTACCTCCCTTCTCTGGTTTGCAAAGCATATTCCTTCCTCCCTCCCTCCTTCCCTCCCTTCCTTCCTTCCTTGTAAAGTACATTTCTAATAGAGCTGTATGTGCTATTATTCCCATGCTTTTGAAAATATAGTTCTCTCTTCCTGGAATGGCTTGCCTAATACTCCAGTGGTCTTTTTATTTCTCTTTAAAGTCCGATCCAGAATAACCTTTCATGAATTCTTTCTGTGCCTGTATGACCTTCTATTAATTTTATTTATATACTATATCGAAATTGTGTTTACATTTCTGTCTCCTCTGCTTAGTTATAAACATGCTCTGTAAAGGCCCAAGTTTTAAATAAAATTAATGAGGGTGCTTTCATGTCACTGACAGTGATGTAACTGTTATAATCTCAAAAGCTTAAAACTGTTTGTACCTTCCAACCCAACAATTTTTTTTCTGGGAATTTTTCCTGAAAAAATAAGCAGAAATGTAACCAAAAATTCATTAGCAAGGATAGTCATTGTGGCCTAATTTATAATAGGAGGAAATAATGAATAATTTAAATGTCTAACAACAGGGAAGTGCTTAAGTATGAATGGGCTCATATGCTCTTAAAATAATGATGAGGATTATATTAAATATGTTTACAAGATAACATGTGAAAAGCAAGTTAGAGAGATGTACTGTTGGTTCCAATCTTGTGATCCAAATTGGTGCAGTTGATCAGAAGAACATCTCTGGTTTTGTCTTTTCTGATTTTACAAATTTTATGTTTTGTAATAGGAAAAATAAATGTTATTTCTTAAAAAAAGATTTTTAGAGAGCCACAAGCCTAAGTTTTGTATAATAAAAGTCAAATTTATCTAAATATTTTGATTGATGTAATGAACAATTTTCAGAGAATTCAAAGTATGTATAGTAAAGCTAACTGAGTTCAGCCTTTCTTTGTTAATTGAGGCGTTAGGATTTTGTCTCGTGTATCAGGATTAAGACCTTACTTGTTGACTGTACAGAACATAGGAAAGAGTTCTAGTTATAGAAAGATAATAACTGACATTTGAGCCCATATACCAGGCACTGTTCAAAACTTGAAATGTATGTAAATATCAAATTCTTACACAAGGCTATACAGTAGGACCTATTATTACCCCATTCTTCAGGTTAAGAAACAGACTCAGAAGTGGGGTAACTTGTTCAGGGTCACACAGGAGTAGCCAGGATGCCCATTGTTAGAGTGGTAGATAAAGATTTATTGTAATTAGGTGGAGGAGATATTGTGAATAAAGACTAAAGGGATTTCATGACTTTGGTTGCAGCAGTGGTCTGGGTAGCATGAATGTCTGTGTCCTTAAAGCCTTGGGCAGGGGCTTCTTCAGAGGAGGCATTGCCCGGAACCTAGAACCTTGCATTTAGGAAGGTTCTCTTCGTCACCAGAAACTGACTGGGGTCTGGAAATCTTGGTTATTGCTTTGGGTTAACTTTATCAATGATTTCTTGAGGTCTTCTAGATGATATTCTCTAAGCTTTAAGGAAGAAGTCAAGCAAGGATTGAAGGGGCCTGGAGAGGAGCCTTTCCTAAATGACGACAATGACAAGAGAAAATTGGGCCCACAATGCTCTGAGACAAGAGGGTCTTGTTAAAGGGAAGGATGATACCTGGAAATGGGGAACCAGCTTCCAAGGAAGCAGCTCCTCTGTTTGGGAGACCTCCCACCTGCACTTTAGACAGTTACGTTACCATGAGACATCTGGACCCCAGGAAGCACTGAGCCGGCTCCGGGAGCTCTGTCGTCGATGGCTGAGGCCAGAAGCACGTACTAAGGCCCAGATCCTGGAGCTGTTGGTCCTGGAGCAGTTCCTGAGCATCCTGCCTGGGGAGATTCGGACCTGGGTGCAGATCCATCGCCCTGGGAGTGGTGAGGAGGCTGTGGCCCTGGTAGAGGAGCTACAGAAAGACCTCGATGGACCAGCACTAAAAGTGAGAAAGGGGGAGGGGAGAGATTTGGGATGGAAGGAAGGAGAGCATTAAGGCAGGGCAAGCTGGGCTGGAGGGTGATCCTGTAATTTTTGTAAACAATTTATAGCTCATTAGCAACCGTAATGCTTATTACAGCAGGTTAATGAGCTATTTCAGATTATAGAAAGCTTCAGAGAAATGGATTTATGATTGGCATCTTGGGTCTAATTCAGAATTAGTACACTTTATCCCTCTGGGTGATGCTTGCTAATGCAGAGTTTGGTTGAATAACCTGAAGAACATTATGTTTCTAAGTGTTCCCCTAAACAGAAGCATATGTGTTGTTTGTATAAGTTTGTTAGGAATGATGATGTAAGCTTGGAGTATAAAAGGCAATGGGACAGTAAGAATGAAGCTTTCTAAATCTGGCAGGACCTCCCCATGTGTGCCCCTACTGGGAATTATGTGGGCCAAGGGATTGTGTTGAGATATTTACTTCTGGAAAGATTTTATATCCTTGACCATTAAATTGGGATCTTAATATATTTCGTAGTGTGTGTGAGATCTCTTTCTGTCAGTCTGTAGTCCACCAGAAACATTTGTATATAAGAAGTCTGAAACCTAACTTAAAACTTGGGAGTGGCACCAACGATGGGCTTGTTTATTTTAATTATAAAAATGAAGATTTTTAGAGCTGTATATTTCATTACAAGGCACTAATCCATCCTTATTTGAGAGATAGGAAAGTGGAGGCAGAGAAAGGTTTGCTGGATTGCCTTATGTCAGACATCTAGGTAGCAGCAAAACCATGTGTCTAGACTCTGGTGTTCCTTCTGTTGGAGCAAGAACGGATAATAAAGGGGTAAATAAGTAGAAGAGTGTATTGAACCCAGTCTAATCTAAAACCAGGTCTGAAGCTAAGACCCATACTCTTAATTATTACTTGTTACTTCCCATTCCCTCCTAGCCCACACCCAGATCTCGCTTCTGTTTCCACCGTTCTGTTCAGTCTCAGTGGGAGAGGTCACCAGTGCCATGAGTGGGGCTAGAGGGCCAGCTCCATTGTTCTCAAGGCAAAGCTTTACTGCTGTTTTGATGCTCCAGACTTGAGGTGGGTCTCTGATCTCACAGTTCGAGATTGTGGGTAGAAAGAGGTCCATAGTGGTTAGGTGAGCCCGTTTTCTGGAGGTACAAGAAAAGTCAGCTTATTTTGTTTTGCTTGTTCCTAGGTTCCAGTTCTTGTTCAGGACCAGGACATTCTGCAGGAAGGGATGAACACTCCAGGAACAGCAGTACCTCATGCACCCATTGGCAGCTGCATAGCAACTGAAATTTGCCAAAATCCTTTTACTGACCCAGTGATGTTCAATCTTCAGGATCCACAACATGGTACTTAGTGATCCTGGCTTTGGACTTTCTCAGGCTCTTTATTATGGCTCCTCCTCCAACTTGCAGTTAGTTGCCTCCTCTCTGTCTTGTATATGAAACCCTTATGGTACCAGGTTCTTTCTGTTATTCCCCCACCTATCCTTTCCTGGGTCCCTGTAACCTTTTATCCATTCTTATTGCTGTTCTTTTATTATTCCAGTCCTTCACATGGGGGTTACTCAGAAGAGGTTTGTAAGTCATTTTATAGCCATCATTGTCTAGTCCTGGGAGTTCTGGGTCTTTCTGAATTCCTTGTTTGTAGAAGAAATGGGACTTGGATTAGTGGTCAGGAACAGCAGTAATTTCACGTGCAGCTTTTGCTCCTTCTTCAGATTCTCCTGGCCCTGAAGCTTCTACCCTTTCCCAGGAAGAGAACCCAAGAAATCAATTAATGGCCCTCATGCTCCTAACAGCCCAGCCCCAGGTAGGTTTGCATTCTTTTTCCTTCCTGAGGCCCTCTCTGCACTACCAAACTATGGCTGAGGTGTCCTCTGTCATCCTGGTGTTTGGGGCCCAATCAGTTCCTATCTGTAAATCACAGTCCATGTGATTGGAAGGTAGACTTTATGTGGGGTTTCCTTATGTCTCTCTGATAGCCCTTGCTTGCCTCATGGCCTCATAATGTGTCCTTACCCAGAAGTGCAAGGAACTTTTCAGTAGGGGAGCTCCTGGGCATGGATAATCTCACACATACCTGTTATTTCAGGAGTTGGTGATGTTTGAGGAAGTGTCAGTATGCTTTACTTCAGAGGAATGGGAGTGTCTGGGCCCGATTCAGAGGGCTTTATACTGGGATGTGATGTTGGAGAACTATGGAAATGTGACCTCCCTAGGTAAGGACTCTTTCTTCCCATCATTCTTACCTTTATTTCATTAGCCTTTGTTTTCTGATTATGAAAGTAGTATATACTTATTTTGGAAAACATAGAATATTAGAAAAGAATACAACTTAAACCCACTCTTGTAGACAACTACTATCAAAATTTTGACATATTACCTGTTTTTTCCTGAGTTTTTTTTATTGGCTACATAATTTGTGCCATAATTTAGCCATTTCCTTATTTTAGATAATTTCTGTAATAATCATCTGTCTCTGTACCTAAGGTCTTTCTTTATTTCTCATTATTTTTTTTTAAAGATTTTATTTATTTATTCATGAGAGACAGAGGGAGAGAGAGAGAGAAGCAGAGGGAGAAGCAGGCTTCCAAGGAGCAGGGAGCCCGATGCGGGACTTGATCCCAGGACCCTGGGATCATGACCTGAGCCAAAGGCAGACGCTCAACCATCTGAGCCACCCAGGCGCCCTCTCATTATTTTCTTAGAAGTAGAATTACTAGGCCTAAGTGTTTGAATTATTTTAAGGTTCTTCTTTCATACTGCCAAATTGCTTTCCTTGGTGATCTCTGTCCTCATGGAGAGATACACAGCACTCCTTTTGCACTGCCTTTATTGGTACTGCGTAATCCCATTCTTTTAAATTGTTGCTGATATGATTTTTTTAAAGTTGTAATATCTTTATTCTCTAGTGGATTTTTATGACTAGTAATAAAGTAAGAATTTTTTTTTAAAGATTTTATTTATTTATTTGACAGAGGGAGGCACAGTAGGAGAGGGAACACCACAAGCAGGGGGAATGGGAGAGGGAGAAGCAGGCTTCCCACTGAGCAGGGAGCCCTAAGCGGGGCTCGATCCCACGACCCTGGGATCATGACCTGAGCCTAAGGCAGATGCTTAACGACTGAGCCACTCAGGCACCCCTAAAGTAAGAACATTTAAAAAATATTTAGTAGCCATTTGTGCTTCCAGCAAACATGAAAATATCTATCATGTGATAGCAACTGTGGAAATGATTCTGCCCTTAAGTAGCTTATCATAATTGGGGAGATGAGCATAGAAAGAATAAACAAGGCACAGTAAAATAATTGGTATAAGAGTGTGATAAACCTTTTAAGATGGAAATGAAGAGGACAAAACAACCAATACCATTCCTCCTGAGATTAGGAAAGGCCATAAAGGAGGTAGCTTTGTGCTGGACTTTGAAGAAAAAGGTAAGATTTTGTTTGGACAAATACACATTAAAAATTGAGGAATCAACTAATGCACTGACCTAATTTAGACTGAAATACAGATTTATAGTATCAGTTTAAATAGCTGCATACTATTCCATTGTTTGTGTATCATGCTTTTACATTGACAACTTTATGATACTGAATTTCTATTCAAGAACATTACATGCCTTTCCATTTGTTCAGCACTGCTTTTATGTTTCAGGCCTGTTTTAAAATTGTCTTCATCTGGATCTTGCATAGTTCAGGGTAATTGATTCTTTGGAATTAGAATCTTCTGATGTTTTCTCATTGACTATAATGTACATATATGAAAATACTGATTTTTTTCGTATGTTGCAGCCTTATTATTTTAATTGTTTATAGTAATTTATACTGTAAATATTTACACTTAATGAGAATATATCTTTTGCTATCTTAGATGTGCCAATTGTGGGCCAAACATTCTGTAGATTTTATATTTTGATACATGTTACCAAACTGCTTTCTACCAATGATGTACCAACTTACTTTCCCATGAAAAGAGGAAAAGGGGGCCCATCTCCCTTATATGTGCTTATGATTTGGTCAGTGTTTTAAATCTCTGCTAGGTAGATGACAGATACTATTTTTTGTTTTTCATTTCTTTGATTATTAGTGTGGTGGAAATATTCTCACATTTATTGGTCATTTCACCCCTATTCATAGCCTTTTTACATAGTTCTTTTATTTATGAGAACTACCCTTTTGTCAAGTATTGCGTATGTTTTTCCCATTTGTTTGCCTTTCGGCATTATTTATGAGTTGTTTTTAAGCCTTAGGAAATCTTTTATGTAGTATTAAATTTAGCAGTATTTTCCTTTATGGTCTTTGTGGTCTTCTCAGTAAAATTATTTTTATTTGTTTATTTTTAAGATTTTATTTATTTAGAGAGAGTGTGTGCAAGCAGGGGAGGGGGAGGGGCAGAGAGAGAGGAAGAATCTCAAGCAGATTCCATGTTGAGCACAGGGGCCATTGTGGGGCTCGATCCCATGACCCTGAGATCATGACCTGAGCCAAAATCAAGAATCAGACACTTAACCGACTGAGCCACCCAGGCGTCCCAGTAAAATTATTTTTTTTAAATCACTTGTATTGTTTTCAGATACTTTTATTGTTTACTTTTTATTTTTAAGCTTTACTCAATCTAAAATTTATCTTGATATATAGAATGACATATGAATCCAATTTGTTTCTTTGTTTTTTAACCCAAGTGGCTTTTAGTAGTTGTAATGCTATTTACTCAATAATCCATCTTTTCAAGAATTTAAAAATATGTTTTATGAGTAAATTGGTGAATTTTATGAAAAACACTCACCATGGGTCCATATAACTCATGCTATAAGCCAAAATAAATTCTAGATGGGTCTAAGAGTTAAACTAAAAAAAAAGAGAAGAAAATGGAATTGCTTCTTTAGTCTAGCTCTTTGAGGAAGGAGAAGTTTGAATCAATTTTAACAAATAAGATATGCTTCACCTGCAATATTGTTGGAACTTTAGCAAGCTGATACCTGGGGGTTTATGCCTTTTGACCTAGTGATTTTCATTTGAGGATGATACCTTAAAGAAATGGTTCAGAAAGAGGAAAATAAGTAACATGTCTAAGGATATACCAGCAAAGTATTTATAAATGGTTAAAAGTTGGGCACAACCTAATTCCCCGAGATAGAGAAAGTACTAAGCAAACCATTGTGTTTGACTTGGAGTTATATTGTGACACTATCAAATATGACAATTCTGCACTCAATTTCCATGCATTGATAAACTATTTGGTAGAAAAGCGGATTCTCAGATGGCTTGCACACACTGTTTCAGTATGTAAAAGATTTGTATATGTTTTATTTAAGGGATTGGAATAGAATTTGAGGGAAATTCAGGAAATATTGAGTACTTCCCATATGTTAAGCTTAACCCCTGCCTTCAAACATTCAAGTTGGAGTGGTAGACATTTATACTAATAATTACAATACAGTGTGACAAATGCTGTGTAATAAGTGTGCACAAGTGTGGGAGCCCATAGGAGCTTGTGATAGTAGGAGCAGGAGAGTGGGGGCAGGGGTGGGTGGCTAAGGGAAAGATTTACATGGGGTGACTTTTTATTTTAATAACAGTTTTATTGAGCTATAATTCACCCATTTAAAGGTTACAGTGCAGTGGTTGTTAGTAATACACAGAACTGTGTGACCATCACCACAATTAATTTTAGAATAGTTCATCACCCCAAAGAGAAGCCTTGTACCATATAGCAGTCAAATTCATTTCACCCAACTGCCCCTCCAACCCAGCCTTAGGCAACCATTAATCTGCTTTCTATCTCTCTAGATTTGCCTTTTCTATGGACATTTTATATAAATGGAATCATACAGTACGTGGTCTTTTGTGACTGCTTTTACTTAGCATAATGTTCTCAAGGTTCATCCATATTGTGGCAGGTATTAATACTTTATTCGTTTTAATGCTGAATATTCTCTTGTGTGTATATATATCACATTTTATTGATTCATCATTTGATGGACATTTAAAAATTTTGTTTCCACCTTTGAGCTGTATAAATAACACTGCTGTGAATATTTGTGCACAAGTTTTTGTGTGGATGTATGTTTTCATTTCTCTTGGATATATACCAAGGAGTGGAATACCTGGGTGTTCTGTGAAAATATTCACAACAGCTGCATCTTGGTTTCTAAAAGGAAAGAAAACTTTATTATTATAGAAACCTAATAGAAACAGAAGAAAGGAATCTACACATAAATGAGAGTAATAGTAAGCAATAAATGAGAATAAGACAAAGCTACATTAGTCAGGTACACAACATCCAAACTCATTAGCTGGGGAAGCCCCATGGAGACAGCCTGGCTCAGTCCAGATTGAGAAGCTTGGGCGGAGCATCCTCCACTCAGGTGAGACTTCCAACTGACCATCCCCATAAGGGCCATATTTATAGGGCAGATGATGGGGTCTGAAGTTAAACATTTGTTCACCTATGTGCAGTTTGGAGTGAGCTGCGTTTCTGTGTTACCATGTTTTTATATTTTCAAGGAGCCTGGGCTATATTTTCAAGGAGGCTACTTACCTCCCCTCCTGGGTTACATTCTGGGGAGCCAGCCCTGCTTTGTAGGAGGAGGGGATGTGAGTCAAGATTTTAACTCTTGGCGTCCAGAAGAGTCAGTTCTGACCTGGAGGCCAGATAATATAGTTTAAATAATGAGGTTTCCAAGGTTATTCATATAGCCTGAGTCTCAGAAACAGCATTCTGTAGCCTGCCTGCATACATTCAGGTCTAGGTTGTTGGTTATGCAAGACGAATCACAGAAACATCCATCCTTATAAAACACTGGGTCAAATGGTAACTCTGTTTAATCATATGAGGAGCTGACAGACTGTTCCAAAGTTGCTGCACCATTTTACACTCTCACCATTGGTATATAAGGGTTTCAGTTTCTCCAGATCTTTTTTTTTTTTAAGATTTTATTTATTTATATGAGAGAGAGCACAAGAAGGGGGAGGGTCAGAGGGAGAAGCGAAGCAGACTCCCTGCTGAGCAGGGAGCATGATGCAGGGCTCCGTCCTGGGACTCCGGGATCATGACCTGAGCTGAAGGCAGATGCTTAACTGACTGAGCCACCCAGGCGCCCCGCAGTTTCTCCAGATTTTCCCCAGCATTTACAATCTTTAATAATTTAATAATTTATAATCTTTCTGATTCTAGCCATCCTGGTGGATCTAAAAAGATGACTCATTGTGGTTTTCATTTGCATTTTCCTGATGACTAAAGATGTTGTGCAACTTTTCATGTGTTTATTGGTTGTATGTCTTTGAAGAAATGTCTTTTCAGATTCTTTGCCTATCTTTTAATTGGGTTGTCTTTTTGTTGAGTTGTAGGAGTTTGTATATATATATATATATTAAAGATTTTATTTGAGAGAGAGAGAGAATGAGAGAGAGAACACAAGAAGGGGGAGGGTCAGAGGGAGAAGCAGACTCCCTGCTGAGCAGGGAACCTGATGTGGGGCTCAGTCCTGGGACTCCAGGATCATGACTTGAGCCGAGGGCAGTCCCTTAACCAACTGAGCCACCCAGGTGCCCTGGAGTTTATATATTTTAGATACAAATACCTTATCAGGTATGGGACTTTCAAGTATTTTCTCCCATTCTCTGAGTGTCTTTTCACTTTCTCAGTGATATCCTTTGAAGCACAAAAGTTACTAATTTTGATGAATTTCAATTTATCCTTTCTTTTGTTGCTTGTGCTTTACTGTCACATCTAAGAAACTATTGCCTAATTCAAGGTCATGGAGATTTATGTATGCGTTTAGTTTTATAGTTTCAGTTCTTAGTTTTGTTCTTTGATCCATTTTGAGTTAGTTTTTGTATGTGTATAAGGGTCCAACTTCATTCTTTCCATGTCTCAGCATCATGTCTTAGCACCATTCCATTATCTCAGCAGCATTTTTCCCCCACTGAATTGTTTTGGTACCCTTTTGAGAATCAGTTAACCATAAATGTGGAGGCTTATTTCTGGACTCTCAATTCTGTTCCTTTGATTATATGTCTATCCTTATGTCAGTGGAACCCTGTCTTATTACTGTTGCTTTGAAGTACATTTTAAAATCAAGAAGTGTGAGCCCTTCAATTGTGGTTCTTCTTTTTCAGTATTATTTTAGTTATTCTAGGCTTGTTGAGTTTCCATATCAATTTTAGTATTAGCTTGTCAATTTCTGAAGAAGCCAGGGGATTTATGATAGGGATGATTGCACTGAATTTATAGATCAATGTGGGGATTATTGCCATTTTAACAGTATTAAGTCTTCCAATCCATGAACATGGAATATGTTTTCATTTATTTAGTCTTTAACTTCATTCAACAATGTTTCGTAGTTTTCAGAGTATAAGTTTTGTACTACTTTTTAAAATTTATTCCTAAGTCTTTTATTCTTTTTTATGCTGTTATTTCTTAATTTCCTTTTAAGATTGTTCAGTGCTATTATGTAGAAATCCCACTGTTTTTTGTTTATCGATCTTGTGTCCTACAACCTTGCCGTACTTACTTAGTTTTAACAGTTTTTTTGGTAGATTCTTTAGGATTTTCTACATATAAGATCTTGTCATCTGCAAACAGGTAGTTTTACTTCTTCCTTTTCAATCTGGATGACTTTTATTTCTTTCTGTTGCCTAATTGCTTTGACTGAAACCTGCAGTTTGTGTTGCATAGAAGTGGCAAGAACAGAAATCTTTTTCTTGTTGAGAGTTCTTAGAGAGAAATCATCAGTTGTTCACCATTAAGTATGATGTTAGCTTTGGATTTTTTTGTAGTTTTTGGCTGAAGAACTTTATCACATTGAAGAAGTTCCCCTTCTATTCCTACTTTGTCAAGTGTTTTATTCATGAAGGGGTATTGGATTTTATCAGATGCTTTTTCTGCATCTATTGAGATGATTATGTGATTTTTGTCATTCATTACATTATGTAATTAATTGATTTTCCAATATTATACCAAACTGCATTTCTGTGATAAATCTCACTCGGTCATGGTGTATAATTTTTTTTCATGTGTTGCTGGATTAGTTTGGCTAGTATTTTGTTGAGGATTTTCATGTCTATATTCATAAGGTCTATTTGTAGTTTTCTTTCTTTTCTTTTTTCTTTTTTTTTTTTTATGATGTCTTTGTCTGGTTTTGGTATCAGGGTAATACTGGTCTCATAGAGTGAGTTGTGAAGTGTTCCCAACTCTTCTGTTTATTGGAAGAGTTTGTGAAAAATTGGTATTCTTTTAATGTTTGATAGAATTCATCAGTGAAGCACTCTGGGCCTGGACTATTCTTTATGGGTGGTTTTTTGATTACTGACTCAATTTCTTTATTTTTTAGAGATCTATTGACATTTTCTATATCTTCTTGAGTCAGTTTTAGTAATTTGCATCCTTCTAGGAATTTGCCCATTTCATCTTAAATTGTCCAATTTATTTGCACAGAATCATTTCTAGCATTCCCTTAGAATCCTTTTTATTTCTGTAATATTTGGTAATATCTAGAGGGGGTAACTTTTGGGCTTATTTTTAAGGGTGTGGGTATTGGGCTTGTAGTGAATTGGGAAAAGGAAGAACAGTTCAGGAAGAGAATTGCTTTCTCTGTCAGATAAAGAAGTAAAATCTTTAAAAAAATTTTATTTATTTGAGAGAGATGGAGAGAGAAAGAGAGCACAAGCAGGGGGGAGGGGCAGAGGGAGAGGGAGAAGCAGACTCCTCACTAAGCAGGGAGTCCAATGTGGTACTCGGATCCCAGGACCCTGGGATCATGACCTGAGCCGAAGGCAGACACTTAAACCAACTGAGCCACCCAGGCGCCCTCTTTTTTTAAGAATTTTAATCATATTTTTTTCCTTTCAAGACATTTAGAATACTGAATATGTATTTTAAGGCATTTCTGTCTTTCTGTTTTTGTTTTTGGTTTTAAGTAAACTCTTTGCCCATTGTGAGGCTCAAACTTACAATCCCAAGATCAGGATTTGCATGCTCTACAACTGAGCCAGCCAGGTGCCCCCAAAATTGCTAATTTCTTAACCATTTTTCATCTCAGTAAACCACTTGCAACACTTCCACTTCTTAAAAACTCTTCTACTTCTTTAAAACACTTCTACTTCCTTAAAGAGAATCTTCCTGAAACCAGCATCCTGCTTAAACCTTGAAACCAATCACTGTGGATGAGGAAACTGGAATACCAGTATTGGATAGGACACATGCCCATCCCTATAGTCAGGTGAAGTAGTGTGATTGGCAGTCCTGCCTGAATCCTGGAAAAAGGGGCAGTTGAGATATGTAAATCTGACCTAAGAATGTAGTTCAGGTTGACATTTATTAGTTATTTTCTATCCTCACCCTCTCATAAATTAAATTTATAATGAAGTAAAATAGCTATTTCTTTCCTATGTCTTTTCTCTCTGTTTGGGTAGAAGAACAGTGTTGTTATCCTCTAACAGAAGATAATATTACTATTATCCACATTATTTTACTTACTAGATAATTTGGGGAACAAGTTCATGATTTCTCCTTACATTTGGATGGTGAAAGTAAGTTGCTAAAACATTTTCAAAAAGATAATTTCACATTTTACAATATTTGAGAATGTTGGAGTAGAAAGGGACTGGCAGTTTACTAGTTCAGCCACATCATTTTATAGATGTATTATGTTTTTAAAATGTCTCTATTTTTTTTCATTCTGTATTTCTTCTTACATATGTATATATATTTTTTTAAGATTTTCATTTATTTATTTTAAAGAGAGAGCAAGCGGGGGAAGGGAGAGGGACAAGCAGACTCCATGCTGAGTGCAGAGCCTGATGTGGGGCTCAATCTCATTTGGGGCTCAATCTCATGACCCTGAGATCATGACCTGAACTGAAATCAAGAGTCAGATGCTTAACCAACTGAGCCACCCAGGCGCCCCTCTTCCTTTTTATATTTAGTTGAATCTAACTCAGTCCTGATGTTTTCCATTTCTCAATTTTAAAAGGAATAGTGGGAGTTATAGATGAATTCTAAGCATCAAGTTGCTTTTTAGTGGATTTTTTCCCTGTAGGTTACTTGCTTTCAAGTAATTAAAAAATATGCACTTGACTCTTCAAAAATTAAAGATTGTTTTAGGGTCCTGACATATATTTTCTCTCCTTTAGAGTTCCCATCTTCTTAGCAAGAAGAAAATAAAGAGACAATTCTTTATAAGCCAAATGATTCTCCCTGTTCCATCCAGCTTCCTGAGCCTCATGTCTGAACCACCTACGCATGATCCCATGTTCTCTCTCTGGTTCTTCCTTATATCTGTTTACTCAACATCATTTATATTTTTCCATCTGCTCCCTGAAGACAAGGAGCTTAGAAGTGTCCGAGTGAGTTCTGTGTTAAAACACAACCTTGTCAGTGTAGTATTCTGCTTTGTATTTTCATTTAATGAAAAGTGTCTTCTTTTTGTATTCATATGAAAGTGTACCCTACTGGCTTGTTTTAAAGTCCTTTGAAGATCTTATTCTTACTAACACAGGGACATGGTAACATTTGCATTTTTAATTCCTTTTACCAGAATGGGAGACCATGACTGAGAATGAAGAGGTGACACCAAAGCCAAGCATTTCTCAAAGAGCCGATTCTCAGAAAGGAACATCCAAAAGACTTCAGGGAGGTGTTCCTCAGACCCTAGATTTTGAGGAAGCATGTGAATGGCAAGTTTTGGCAAGTCATTGGGGAACTAAAACAGGGGAAAGGGATACCCTAAAGAACGTTTCCGTCTGTGAAAGAGATAAGAAGAAAAGGACGCTACCAGAAAAACAAGGCCAAAAGTGGAAGGAATTTGGAGAAAGCTTGACTTCAGGTTCAGCTCTTTCTGAAAGTTTAATAGGTACTGAAGGAAAGAAGTTTTATAAATGTGATATATGTTGTAAACATTTCAATAAAATCTCCCATCTTATAAACCATCGGAGAATCCACACTGGTGAGAAACCTCATAAATGTAAAGAGTGTGGAAAAGGCTTTATTCAGCGCTCAAGCCTTCTAATGCATTTACGGAACCATTCTGGGGAGAAACCTTATAAATGTAATGAATGTGGGAAAGCCTTCTCTCAAAGTGCTTATCTTCTAAACCATCAGAGAATCCACACTGGGGAGAAGCCTTATAAATGTAAGGAGTGTGGAAAGGGCTTCTATAGGCATTCAGGCCTTATTATACATCTAAGGCGCCATTCTGGGGAGAGACCTTATAAATGTAATGAATGTGGGAAAGTTTTCTCTCAGAATGCTTACCTCATTGACCATCAGAGGCTCCACAAAGGGGAAGAACCTTATAAATGTAACAAGTGTCAGAAAGCTTTCATTCTGAAAAAGAGCCTCATTCTGCACCAGAGAATCCACTCTGGGGAAAAGCCCTACAAATGTGATGAATGTGGAAAAACCTTTGCTCAGACCACTTACCTTGTTGACCATCAGCGGCTCCACAGTACAGAGAACCCATACAAATGTAAAGAATGTGGAAAAGTTTTCATTCGAAGCAAAAGCCTCCTCTTACACCAGAGAGTACACACAGAAAAGAAGACTTTTGGTTGTAAAAAATGTGGGAAGATTTTCAATTCAAAGTCAAACCTAATTGACCATAAAAGGATGCATAGCAGAGAGAAGCCATATAAATGTACTGAATGTGGGAAAGCATTCACTCAGAGTGCTTATCTTTTTGACCACCAGAGACTCCACAATGGAGAGAAACCTTACGAATGTAATGAGTGTGGGAAAGTTTTCATTCTAAAGAAGAGCCTCATTTTACATCAGAGGTTCCATACTGGAGAGAATCTCTATGAATGTAAAGACTGTGGCAAGGTCTTTGGTTCTAACAGAAACCTCATTGACCATGAGAGACTACACAATGGGGAGAAGCCCTATGAATGTCGAGAGTGTGGGAAGACTTTCATCATGAGCAAAAGTTTCATGGTCCATCAGAAACTACATACACAGGAAAAATCCTACAAATGTGAGGATTGTGGGAAGGCTTTTAGTTATAATTCAAGCCTGCTCGTGCATCGGAGAATCCACACTGGAGAAAAGCCCTTTGAATGCAGTGAGTGTGGAAGAGCTTTCAGTTCTAACAGAAACCTCATTGAACATAAGAGAATCCACAGTGGTGAGAAACCCTATGAGTGTAATGAGTGTGGTAAATGCTTCATTTTGAAGAAAAGCCTCATTGGACACCAGCGGATTCACACAAGGGAAAAATCTTATAAATGCAGTGACTGTGGGAAAGTCTTCAGTTACCGCTCAAACCTTATAGCCCATCAGAGAATCCACACTGGTGAGAAGCCCTATGCATGTAATGAGTGTGGGAAAGGCTTTACTTACAACAGAAACCTCATTGAACATCAAAGAATTCACAGTGGGGAAAAAACCTATGAATGTCATATATGTAGAAAAGTTCTTACCTCTAGTAGAAATCTTATGGTACATCAAAGAATCCACACTGGAGAGAAGCCTTATAAATGTAATGAGTGTGGAAAAGACTTCAGTCAGAATAAAAACCTTGTTGTACATCAGAGGATGCACACTGGGGAAAAACCATATGAGTGTGAGAAGTGTAGAAAATCTTTTACTTCTAAGAGGAATTTAGTTGGCCACCAGAGAATCCATACAGGGGAGAAACCGTATGGGTGTAATGATTGTAGTAAAGTTTTTAGGCAGAGAAAAAACCTTACTGTACATCAGAAAATTCATACAGATGGAAAACTTTGTGAATGTGATGAGTCTGAAAAAGAATTCTCTCAGACTTCAAACCTTCATCTTCAACAAGAAATCCATAATGTGGAGGAATTCTCTTGGCTCCAAAGTGCCAACGAGTCCAAGACAGACATTCAGAAAATCTAGTGTCATTTGTAAAATGGGATAAAATCCCTTGCTACCTAAGTAACTGTTAGACAAATGGCAGTGTATGGTCCTTGCAAGGAAAAAATTCATGATTGACCCTTTTGTAGACAAATGATTTGCATGTGAAAGAATGTTAATCTAGACTTTCAAGACTACATAAACCAAATTCTAGTTAAAGAATATTATGTCCCAGACCGTTTGTTATGACTCTGGAAAGGGACCTTAGAGCACTTGAAGGCTCTGAAGAACCTTATGAGATGTAATGATGTAGTTGTAAGTGATAGCAAAAATATCTTTGTATTAAGAAATGGACATTGTTTCTGAAAATGTGTATATTGTACATTTTAAAAATAGCATCACTGCTACAAAAAAGTCTCTATTGACCATATCGAGACAGGTCAGACATGGAGTTGAGTGGGCAAGAGTCTGCTGTTTGAGGACAACTTAAGAAGAGTACTAGATTTGGAATTAGAAGACGGAGGTTTGGGTCCTGGCTCTTTCTCTTACTAGCTATGTGATGATGTTAAGTCAGCCTCTAGGCCTCAGTTTCTCTGTCAGTCAAGTGTTGACATAATGCTTTCTTAAAAGGGCTTGAGGATTAAGTGAAAGGATGGTTGTGAACATACTTTGTGAAATAATTTAGTTGTCAATAAAGTTGGGTAAAAGAGGTATGGTCAAAATCTAGAACATGGCATAATATAATGTTTGTTCATTACGTCAATATTAGGACTCAGAACTTCAAAAATACTCATTTTAAGAGGAAGTATGGTGGATAGCTTACTTTGGGTTTAATAGTCTAAGAAGACTTTTTAAAAAGATAGCTTTCAGAATTTGATGGGATTAATAGATAATATGCCTAGTTTGTTTCGATGGTAAAATACTGGCTTGTTATGGAAAAACAATATTATGTCCAGCTGTTAACACTGAAGCCAAGGAAAATTATTTTTCAACCTTCAGATTTGAAACCTGGCAGATGTAGAATGTCAAAGTGGAAGGACAGTCCTGTGTTGCTTTCCTTGTTCATAGGGAAAAATCCTTAACTCCAACCCCTGAGCTAATGATCCCTGCCACTTTATTCTCAGTTCTAATCAACATTTCACCATTGCTGACATATGAAAGCTTGTTACTCAAGAAACAACATTCTGTTCCAGTACTCAGCTTACTAATAAGTTTCACAAGAACCAAGTCCTTAAAGCTCTGATTAAATCAATTCAGAATCCACCCCTGAGTGGTCAGGCCCATTACTGCCTGTGAACCAATCATTCATTCAGTCTGTTCTCTTTTGTACATTTGTAGATTTAATTCATCCTATATTCTTGAGTTGTTAATTTTATATTGTAATTCTCAAAACTCCCAATTCTGCAGCTGGACTATAAATACCTTAATATCCAGATTGTGTTTCTAATAGTAGCATTGAACTGATGTGTTGATAAATGTTAACTAATTCAACCTCAGAGTTCCTTGAGGTCTGGTTCCTCATTAGACTGAAAGGTAAACAAGAGTGAAAAATGGAAGGGCTCAAGATTTAAAGTCTTAAGACCTGGGTATAAGTCAGCTTCTGCCACTTTCCTTGGACAGATGCCTTTATTACTTGGAGCCTTGATTTCCTCATCTGTATAACAGGAGGGAGAATATCTACCTCACAAAGTTGTTACGAGGTAATGAATATGGAGATGCTTTGTATCTGTGCTATAGAAGAATCACTACAGATTATGTAATTACAAAGGGAAAGATGTACTTTAACAGAGAAGCTGGCCTTCACCTCTTAACCATCACTAAGACCAAGACAACCTACATTATCTGCCTCCTCATGTGATGCAATAAGCCAGAAGTGTAACCTGAATTTATCAAGCTTCTTAGACCTAATTGCCATTTTACAGGAAATACAGAAAGCAGACGAACAAGATAAATGACACAAGAAACAATTTAGAACAGGGACTATTGTAAAGAAAACTGCACTGGATTCTTCAAAAATATGAAAAAGGAAGGGGTGATCATTGTTGAAGCTGGTTGAATATTGGGAGTTAATTGTACTGATCTCTGCTTTTGTATATGTGTTAAATTTTCCAGAATGAAAGGTATAAAAAGTGGGTGAGGGAGGTTGTTTTTAAAAGATATTGAAGAACCATAAGACACTAAGAGCCAGAGATAGACTCACACAAATGCCCAATTGATTTTTGGCAAAGGTTGAACAATTCAGTAAAAGGGATAGCTTTTTCAACAAATGCTGCTGGTGGAATTTGATATACATAGGCAAATATCCATCCATCCATCCATCCATCCATCCATAGTCAGGAGCTAGGACTAAGCAAGGAACTCTTAAATTTACATCAAAAGTAGGCTCCATAAAAGGAAAAATGATAAATTGGACCTCATCACAATTAAAATAATTTGCTCTACAAAAAAAAAAAAAAAAAAACTTTTTAAGAGTGGTAAGACATTACAGACTTGGGGAAAATATTTGTAAATCATATATCCAACAGGATTTGTATCTATCCTATATAAAGAAATCTCAAAACTCAACAATAATAGATTCATTCGTTTAGAAAATGGACAAAAGACGTAGACATTTCACCAAAATATAGATAGCAAATAAACAAATGAAAAGATATTCACCATCATTAGCCAGTAGAGAAATACAAGTTAAAAAAAATGACTGCACACGTGTCAGAATAGCTTAAAAAAAGAAAAACAGTGTTATTAAATCTTGGCAAGGATGCAGAGAAACTGAGTCTTTGTCTGTTGCTGGGAATGTTAAATGATACACCCACTCTGGAAAACAGTTTGGCAGTTTCTTACAAAACCAAACATGTACTTATGATATGACCCAGTATTTGTACTCCTGAATATTTACCCCCAGAGAAATGAAAACTTAATTCAGACAAACATATGTACATGACTGTTCATAGCAGTTTTATTTGTAATAGTCAAAATCTGTAAGTAACCCAAAATAGCTTCAACAAGTGGCCAAAACAGTATTCTATTTATACCATGAATACTTACACTCCGCAATAAAATGGAATGACCCATTCCTGCAATGACAAGTGAATTTCAAGAAAATTATGCCGAGTGAAAATCCAATCTCAAAAGGTGGTATTCTGTATGATTCTACTTATATAATACTCTAAAATGACAAAACTATATAGAGATGAAAGATTAGTGGTTGCCAGAGGTTGGGGATGGTGGGAGGGGACAGGAGGGAGAGAGACGGGTAGCACTTAGGAAGGTCTTTGTGATGTTGGAACAGTTGTGTGTCTTGATTGTGGTAGTGATTACACAAATACACATGATAAAATGAGGTAGAAGTCTACACAAACATTGTACCAGTGTCAACTTCCTGATTTTTATGTTAAATGATGATTATGTAAATTGTACCTGTTGAGGGAAACTGGGGGAAGGGTATTTTTCCAACTTCCTGTGAATTGTTAAATTCAAAGTAAAAGGTAAAACAAGACCCTAAAAAAGCCATAACCAAATGCATTGTGAAACCGATTTGAAAACAAAATGATGAAAATACATATTTTAGGGCAGTTGGGGAGATTTGAATATGACTGGATATTAGATGATATTAGGAAATTGTTAATTTTCTTACCATTATGTAATGGTATAACGTTTGGAGAATATTAAAGGATGCATTTTGAAGAGTTCGGAATGAAGTGTTGATTACAACTTTAAAGTATTTTTCAGTGTATAGAGAGAGATAAGGAAAAGGTAGTCAAGTGTTGAGTCCAGATGCAGGATACAGGTATTCATGGTACCATACTTTCACCTTTTATGTACCGTTTGTATTTTCAAATAAAATGTTTGAGGCAAAATTGTCAGGGCTTTCTACAGACAAATGCTTTCTGGCTTCAGGCTCCTGCGTATGCGCCTCGCGTAACTACTGCCAAGTCAGGGGATGTACCCTTCCCTGAAGCTCAGGGCCACAGTACACCTGCACCCTCCTAAACACTTGCTCCCATCCCTGGTCCGCGGCAATATTGGACACCCATCGAGAAGACAGCACCTCCGAGGTTCCTAGAGAGGCCAGCCTGGAGACTTGGGAAGCCGGAAGCCCGTCTCGAGGCACTTCCTGTCCGCTCATTGTTCTCGCGCCGGCAGGCGCAGGACGTCGGAGTCTGCGGGCCTTTTGCTTTAGAGCACGGGAGCTCCGGCCGGGCGTCTTCTATGAACACGGTCAGTGGGGTTGGCGGTGGTGGGCACGGACGTCGCGGGCGCGGGAGGGGCCATCCCAGGGGCGGACTGCCGCGACCTCCCCTCGGGGGGTCCAGGCTTGTCTGTCCCTAGGGCGGCTCCGCGTCCCACCACTTCAGAAACACGGCTGCCGCCTACCGGGGGTCTGGCCTGGGGGACCTTGGAGACGGACAACACCAGGGCCCAGGCTCACCCCAGGAACAGGGCTGTTTGGGGTATGAAGGGGGAGGAGGTGGGCTGCCACATTTGGAAATAGGGAAAGGACACTGAAAGGGAAGCCCTTGATAGGGAACTCGGTGCTGTCAGGGGTGGAGGCGATGTGAGTTTTGTCAGCAGTCCGGTAAGAATGCTGGAAGTAGGCAGTCTTGCCTATACACAGGTGAGATGAGTGTTAAGGGCCTTCGTACATGGTAGAATTCAGCTAATCATGGAAAGAATAATCCTCCAGAATTGAGAATTGTTGCAGGAGTGAAAGTGCTATTGTTTAAGAAATTCAGCGTGTACAGTAAATTCACAGTAAGTTGACAGGAGAAAGCATGTGATTACTTCAATAATAGCAGAAGGGGACTTAATTAAATTTAGCACTTTTTCCCCCAAAAAACATCTGAAGG